TCCTCGTAATGGCATTTGCTTTCGTGATTATCGCCTCCACGGTAAGCGCCTTTGTCTTTTTTTCTCCCCATTCTGTTTGTGTACGGTTATATCTTGGTAATGCCTTTTGATTGCTTCTTGATTCTCATCGGCTTGTTCATGTTTTAACTTCATAATTCTTACTTCTTTTCCTTATCCCGCTTTGTTTGAATGAAGTTTGAGTGTGTTATATGATTTTTTTTAGTGATGATTTGAATTCTTTTATGTTTTCTTTACATATTTTGTTTATACGTGCTCTTTTTCCGGTTATGTCAAGCAACTCTTATTTTATTTATTTCTGATTAGCTTTCAAAATCCTGAAATTGAATCCGATTGAGCTTTAGCTCGATTGACATTTTTGAAAGGCCATCTGTTTGATTGTGTTTAAGTACGTAATTGACTTCTATATATGAATTTGGGATTATGGATAGTTTAAGCATTTTATTAAAAAATCCTAAAAAAATTGAAAATCGGTTAATGTTAAGTATCCATAATATCACTTAAATGTTTCCAAGGCCCTGCTTGGTTGCTTAACATTCTCTTCAACTGGAGAATTATTGCTTCTAAGGGTCCGTTTGGTTCACTAAAAACATTTTCCAGAAAATGAAATCTGAAAAATGAATTACATTTCTAGAAAATATTTTCCAAAAAACATTTTCCAGTATTTGGATGGTACATTGTAAAATGTTTTACACTGTTTGGTTAATTTTTCTGAAAAAAATTTTCAAAATCTGTTTTAAATAAATAAGCATACATATTCGATATGTTTTTATTCTTAACCTTTTAGTTTTAAAGGTTCATTTTATTTTTTTCATTATGCCATTTACAATATATATATACTAAAAGGTGTCAATGGACTTATTATTGGCATATTTCAGCTGTCAAGATGTAAAACACACAGAATCTGTACTCATAGAAGCTGTTCTCTGTCAAGCTGGGAACAACTATGACAAAAACAAAACATGACATCTAAGTGAAATATCTCATGAGATCAACCTGGTCATGACAATTCAAAACCAGATATTCTACAATGCATGATAACACATTTGCAATGTTCAAAGCCCTGACATAACCATTCTGGGCACCTATCCAACTAGCGAACCTTACAGTCCAACTAATAAGTTCATGTTCGAGCTGCAAAGTGGCATTAAGATGATCATCGCTAAGCTTTTTGCCGGATCCAATAGAACCTAAACTTTTGGCTTCTGTAATCACCTGACATTGACTACGATGGCATTCAAGCATGCGTTTCCACATTATGTTTAACCTGGAAAACGAAATTGCAAGAAAACAATTAAGGCAAAAAAAAAAAGAGTAAATGATAAGCAAATATTGGTTTGTGGAGTGACGAAAAATTGCACATTCAGCAAAATCAAGGAACATGCTTCACTTCACTTATAAAACTCCCTCTAACACTTCATACCCTTTAAAGAGCTCTCAGGCCAGTACCCCCATTATTGACATCCACCGCTCGTCACCGTATACTTTTACAAGCTTCAACAGCTAAGACAAGAGATTCCTAAATATTAATGCAAATTACTAAAATGCCAAAGCAATGTCATTATGCAACCAATAAAGATAGCAAAAGGATTCTGATTAAAAATACTAATTAAAGATATCAAATGAAAAAAAAAGGCAAGGCCAAAAGTAAGATGCAATTATGTCAGTTAATAACAAAACACTAGCAATGTACGTAGAGAATAAAGAATGAGATAGAAAAAAGTAAAATAGTTGAACAAGCAAAAATAATACCCTTCAATCAGTTCATTGAGCAGAGGCCATAGCTCCTCATCCCTGATCTTATTAATTGTCACAAATATCTTGTCAACAACTTGAATTGCAATTCTTATATTTGTGGATAGGCTCTTGATCATATGCCGGGTTGAATCAATTTTTTTTTTTTGCTTCAGCGCCCCTTTCGTCTAGCCGTTTCAACTTAACGACATTTCCTGTCATAAGCCACCCGCATCTTCTCCTCGGCCTGCATTGCATCAAAAACTTCTAGCTCAGGAAAATCAGAAAGGTTATGAAACTAATAAAAGAAGAGGCATAAAACTGCTCTTCATCCAGGGAATAACCAAGTCACAGACTCACGGTGCTCATAAAGTAATCCTAAAATGGCCTTTCTTCATATTTCAAAAATCCACCAAAAATTAACACTACCCAGATGCCCAAATCAATAGATTTCAACAGAAAGAACATTAAAACTAAAAACACAACAAGAATTCAACATACCCATGAGTTCTCAGCAGTCTCCTCTGTGGGAGAGTGGCGCAAATCGAAAGCAAAGACAAGAGACTAGCTCTCCTGATCCTCACCGGCTGGCCTTTCTTTAAGCCATCGAGCGCGAAATTAACCTCTTCCACATGCTCCATCATTTCCCCGAATTCTTGAGCCTCCATCAGACTCGAAGTCGACGAAATCCACGAAAAACTGGGCTAAAAACTCGGTTTTTTATTTATGCCGAGCCGGTGAAAATGAAAATGGAGGTCAAGGAAGATGAAACATCTATTAAAAAAGGAGGTGAATGAAGATGAAAAGGGAGAATATGAACAGAGAGATACCTGAGAAGGCGACTGCCCGCCTCGCCGGTGAGAAGGAGGCCACTGGATAGATCGATTTTACGGTGTGGAGCAAGGGACGGGAGAACGAATTGTTTTCTGTGTGGAACAAGGGAGTTGCAAAACGATGGAAAACAACTTACCCTTTTCCAAACGGTAAGTTATTTTACCGTGTTTTCCTTCAAGTTTCCGTTGACCGGAAAATAAAATACGTTGACCTCGAGTTTTACGTGAACCAAACACAGAAAAACGGGAAAAATATTTTCCGTTAAATGTTTTTCCCAACCAAATAGACCCTAATATTGTAGAAACCTCTAATGAATGTGCAAAAACCACATTTAGCACTGAAATTCATTAGGTGTGATGATGTTTCCAGCATTTTCAAGTACTAAAAACACCTAATTCATTTTGCATCAAGTCCCAGAAGGTCATGTCGGTGTGTATTGGACGGGTGGAGCCCTTTCAAAAAGAATAACAGAGCCAGCTCACGTTATGGACTTATGGTCTTCTTTTTCATTCATAATAGAGGAGCGAGTCAGAAATTTTATATTGGATTGAGAAAAACCGTATATTTTATCAACTTTTGAAGATGCCTCCTTATAATGTTATAATCACTATATACAGGATTCCATTTTAAGATGCCTCTGATAACTCACTACGAGCCTGTTCTAGTTACTCTTCAAACAGATCTGGTAACCTTTTCCCCAAACTGTACACATTGTGTATCATTTGGCCTATGGCCATTTTATTTTTATTTATAAAAAAGAAAATGTAGGTGAGGGATATTCCTTGTGGTACTAAAGGGGGTGTGATGATCAACTTTGAAAAGATAGAGGTAAGGCTTAAATTCTCTTATTTCGTATTTGTAAGTGCGGTTCAAGGTGACTTCCTCCCCCCCCCCCCCCCCACATTGATGCTTGAATTACAAGGTTGTCAATCGGCTTCGAAAAGAATGTGTATGGAACGTGCATTATGACAACACATGGATATATGACAAGATTCATCATGAAAACAATCAGTTTTGTAGCTCTCATACACTTCAACAAGTCTAAATAGATGCGTTTGATCAGGTAAGAAAAGTTGCAACTTGTAACTCATCATTCATTCGAGGCTAAGGTTGCTAGTTCCATTCGCCCATGGAATACATGATATTTTAAGTTCTATGTTACCCATGTCCAAAAATGTACCATATATGGATGTCAGGCATGAACCCTCAATGAAATATGAAGAAATGGAATTACATGGAGTATATTCAAACTATAGTAACTTTTTCTTCGACAAATTGATGCAACTTAAAGGTATCATCAATTAAATCATAACATCTTCAGTTTTAGATTGATGAGAAGATGAAAGAGGCTCTTCAGGGTGATTGTACACGCTGTGCACCAGGAATTGAAATTCTTAGCGTGCGTGTTACAAAGCCGACAATTCCTGAAAGTATTAGAAGAAATTATGAACAAATGGAAGAGGAACGTACGAAGGTAATAACTCAGTAATCTTCTATGGCCACATTGGTTCCTGTTTCGGTTACCCAGTTTTCCTTTTTTTAAAAATAAAAATCATATCAAGCTATAATGTTATTGCGTAGGTTTTAATATCAATTGAGAAACAAAAAGTAGCTTAGAAAGAAGCAGAGACCCTGAAAAAGATGGCTGTGAGTGAAGCTGAGAAGGCTGCCACTGTTAGCAAGATCATGATGGAACCGAAGCTGATGGAGAAAGAGAGTTCCAGGTGACAGCAGGAAATCGAAAACCAAATGTATAGTGCCCGTGAAAAGAGTCTAGCGGATTCGGATTTTTACCGGTGAAATCATCTTTCCCTTTTATCTTGTCAACTTACCATATGCAGTAGAGGTGTTCAATATCAGCATTATCATCTGTTTTTAATGTGATGAAAGAAGCTGAAGCAAACAAGTTGAAGCTGACTCCAGAAATTCTTTAGCTCAGATTTATAGAAGGCATTGCTGATAACACAAAAACCTTTTTTGGAGACAAGGTTCTCTATAACTCACCATGCCCCTTTGTCTTCCACTTTCCTTGGCTCATTCATTTCTTTGACCTTTGTCTTTCACTATGAACCCTGATTTCTTCTGTAGGTACCCAATATGGTTTTGGATCAAAGGTTGCTTGGTAACTTCCTTCTGAATATGTCTAGTCAAGTGCATGGTTAGAAGCAAAGTCAAATGCTTGAAGTTTTCAGGTAATTACCATGACGTAAATTGTCAATACAACTTGGTGAAAAAAAGAAGGTTCAATGGATCTTTTTCTTGATGAAATTTTAGAGAAAGACTTGAATTTGCACTTGTTCATGGTAATTGTTATTAATTTGTGTTGGCATTAGTTTTATTCTTTTTTATTCGAGTGAATCACTCAAATCTGCAAAAGTTGTAATCATAGAGCTTTTAACAAAACTCAGTTTGTGATAATAAATTATGTCATTACTCATTAAGCAAATAAATGGTTGAACTTAGTCAAATAAATTATCAGCTTTGAGTCTCTAACTCGTACACTTCAAGCTTGTAGTTGAATCCAAATTTCGCAGATTATGTCTCAGATGAATTTGATTTAAACAAGGTTGTCTGATTTGCACATGGGCATGAGCGAAGATAGCTCAGTCAGTTTTTTCATCCAATGACCAGCGTGCCTTCCATATGATCGAATGAGAGAGAAGTCTTTCAGTTTTCCACCCTGCCAACTTTAGCTGCAAAACGAAAGAGAACGAGCATCTTCAGGGAGAAAGAAAGTCCACCCGACATGTATCCGGATATAGATACTAGAATTTGGGACCGACCATTCAAGTAGATGAAACAACTTGAAAAAGTTGAACATATTCATGCAGCCTAACGTATTTCAAGTTAAAAGCACAAATTTCATAAAGATTACCTTATGAACGAAACTTTCATAGTTCTTATCCATCCATGCTTGGCTCTCCAGATGTGGAGATCCTTTTTCATCCATAAGATTAACCATAACAAGTGCATGAATATACGACCTCAAGGTATCTGCACCTGTCGAATCTTTGTGCACGACGACACTGACGATTCCCTTCCTCTCAACCAGTAAATACTTTGCTAGAGTAACAATATGTCAACTATCAACACAAGGGCATTGTAAATGTAGATACTACATACTATGTGTACAAGTTCTAACCTTTATTGTAAAATGATCCGGCTGAGTTCAAAAGGTTGATCCTGTTTGGGATTATCAGTAACACTAGTCAGTTCATGAGTAACTATGTTATCTTATGAACTCCTATAATATGCAATGCAGCGATATAAATTTTTCTGATCAAAATACCTGTCATACTGTCAAAAATGCAATTTAATCACGAACTATAGAACTGAGTAATTTAATTCTTCTACAGGCAATCAAAGTTGCATGATGATTAACTTAAAACACTCACATTTCTAGGTGATCAAGAGTGGAGACCCTTAATCCTAGTTTTACATTTACGTGCAGGGGCTTAGCAGTCTTTGATGACTTTAGAGTGGTCCAAACGGGCAAAACATGCTCCATAGTTGAGACTTGTTTAGGAGAGAGAACTGAAAATGCATTCAGGAATAGGATTAATATCCGCATTCAAAAATACGATGGCACATGAAATCATTAAGAATTTAAAAATATGCTGAAAAGAGAAAGAATGAAAAAAAAAAAAACAATTCATATCGAGTTTGCAGAAGCAATCAGGTTGTATGTGGTCTTGTTAAATAACCTACTCAGGTGCAAGATTTGTGAATCATTTTCAATATTGTGGAGCTTATGCAAAGTAAATTGGTTTTGTCGGAAAGAAAAACTACATAGAATTCACTTAAAAGTTAATTTTTTCATTTTTCTTTAGTACTTGTGCTTGATACCTGTATCCGACACACATCCGGACAGGATATGGGAATATAACCTTTCAGGGACCTCCAAATAAATAGAAAAACATTTTTAAAAATTGAAAACATTGGTGTCGAACACACAGTATGGTCCGTGTAATATAGCTTGAAACAATTATATGACAGCCTTCCAGGAAATTTATATCCGGACCAACATTCACTAAAAGTAGACCTCAAGGGAGTAACAGCAACGCAGATTATGGTAATTTACCTTGGCCAGATTCTATGAAATGTTGCAGAAGAATCGAGCTCCTCTCGAAGTTCAGCGAGACTAAAGCTAGACACCTGACAGCTTTGTAATTTGCTATGCACAGGGGAAAAGGAAATCACCAATTACTTAAGCAATTAGAGAACAGAAAAGAAAAAGATAACTCATAATAAGAAAAAAATCGGGTGAACAATGCCCTAGTTTCAATATACTATGGAGTGCAAGGACAATAGGTTTGAAATATGCCTGACCATACGGCATAATATCATGTATTCAGAGATCATAATAGAATCTTGTCCTAAGACTGAAGACAGATTTTTCTATGCGGTACAGTGGGAAAGATGTCTCAAGTTTAAGACATGTATGGCTTTTCTAAGATGTTAGCTGCATTTAACAATATGGGAGTCTTTACGCAGACCAAACTTACCATACATATGGAACATTGTCAGAGAGAGAAAAGAGAACCAAATGGCGAGCGGGTTTTCGGTAGTGATTTGAGCAAGAAGCATTCCCAATGCCATGCCAATCATTGTTGCCATTGTCTCTTGGCTTCCTTCCTGCCATTATTTTTGAAACAAAAAGAACAAAAAGAATATTCAGTACTTGGACTATCCCTTTACACAACAGGTTCTTGTCATTGTCGTCCAATCATCATAATCACTTTCAAGGTACCTTAGCGGATATATCTGCTGCATTATTTTGGAGGGCAAAATGTTGTGTGAGAGCAGCTCTGGTTGCTCCACTGGCAACACCAGCTGCATTGGGAAATTATGCAGGAAAACACATAATTAGAAGTTCAAAACGAGCCTCTTCTGTAACAGGAATTGCTTAATCTTTTACATAATAACAAGAAGCTTTGTAGGTAATAGAGTGCTTAATGCAAAAAAAAAAAAAAAATGTTTTCCTCAATTTACAAATGGCTCAAAAGAACCGATAACTATCATGTCCCAGCGGAGCTAGCAGTCATAAGTTCTTAGTTTCAAGGAATAGCTTACTGAATGATCTTGACAAGCTTCCTAAGCAAACAATGAAAATAAAGGCTGAAGGGAACAAAGGGGAAAGAAGATCCATCAACATTCCTGCAATAAAATATGCAAGCCATCGTTGTTATTTGAAGCTAAAATTTTTTAGGAGATAACAAAATCACTAATACTTTCCGAACCCACATAAGTAATCAAAACTAAGAACCGGTTTCATTGACAAGGATGCCAAAACCAAATTCTAACATGCATTGTACATTCATACAGAGGGAAAGCTTAATATGATTCACCCATATACATGATTTATAGCTTGACTAAGGAATGTAAAAGCCATTACCCAAAAAAACTGATTGTCACAAACTATGTTACTTGGTCTTGGACGTGAACTGTGTAAGTGTCATATATGAGTACATGTCCAACACGGGTGTCCAGTTTATTTTCTAAGTTTTTCCATATATTTGGAGCATACATGACCAAATATTTGTCTGACTCGTGTCTTGGACAAGAATACCTCAAGAAAAATGAAGAGTTGAAGCAATGTCCACAATTATGTATGTGCTACTCTGCCCATAGGCATGCATTTGCACTGATGTAAATGCATACACGTAGAGGGCAGAGATAAAGATCAAAGATCTGTAGTCATTACTGCAAAGCAATTTCTCTAAAAGAAACATCTGACATACCTAAATCATTCATGAGATCTGCAACCAAACGCCACATTTTAGCATTACTATCAAGATTTGATCCCTAATGCAAAACCATTACGGTGTCAGACTCAAAACAAGAGCTTGAAAAGACGGCTTCGATGAAGAAGGAAAATACAATCAATAAAACCTTAGTGAGCAGACCTGGTAAAGTGTGAATAATATGCCTCCGATCATTCCCGTTAGATCTCTCAAGAACCACTACAATAATTACAATAACCATAACTCAATATCAGAAGGTCTAAGGTAACCTCAAGTATTTCACTCATTAGGATTCCATGAAACTCCCAAATATCACAGACCAAGTATAATAATACCGGAACTATAGATATAGAATTGTACATTGGATTTTCTACCTGAAACGTTGCACCGATAATAGTCGCGGATTTCTCACCAACTCCAATAGCACTCAAAAGTGCCTGGGAAAGAAGTTAAAGTAAGCAACAACCAAATATTAGAAACCATCAACATATAAAGCTCATAAGAAACTCAATATCAATTGGATTTGACACTCACTTGTGTAGAAAGCATTGTTCTTATATATGTCGAAAGTCCCTACATATTGAAACTTCAGTAAGAATTGCTAATTTTGAGCAGTCCACAAATGTTAAACAACATTTCATTTTCTTATACCTGCAAAGAGTCCCATACTTGAAAAGAGACATAATCTGGAGTCACACTATCTGGGAAACCCTGCAATTAAAGCTGACTTTTAAGACTTGAAAATCATGTTTGGGTTATTGGGTATCCAAATAATGAAACAATTTGTGAAAGAAAAAACAGTTACTTTTTCATCAAATTTTCAAGAAATTAGAAAGACCCAACAAACAAAATTTGATTTTGAATGGAAAAACAGAGGAGACTTGCCTCGGGGACAAAGGCATCGAAGAATCGTCTCCAAACATGGTTGAAACTATTAACTGATCTGTTTTCAGCCAAATGAAAAATTAAAAGCTTGGAAAGAGAGAAAGAGAAGTGAAAAGGAAGGACCTTTGGATTTGAATAGAAGGGGAGAGAGTGATGGTGGCGGTTTTGAAAAGCTTGGTAGAGGAAGATCCGTTCCATTCTTCGATTATGAGTTGTTGCTTTGACATCTTTCTGGTTTCCAATTGATCATTCCCTAAACTAAAAAAAACATCAAGTAATAAAGAATCCTGTGTCTTCAAACTAGTGTAGTTCAGATAGAGTCCCATGTCGTTGACCACATTTTATTGTTTAATTAAATTCAGTATTTATTTATAATTATTTCCTTTAATCGAGGATCAAATTATGACAAACTATAGTATATGGGTTAAATCCAAAGAATGATCATAATAGCAAGACTAAAATCATAATTTGGCATAATGAAAATTAAGTTTGGCTAACTAATACATATTGAACTTAAAATATAAGATTAAATCTCAAGTTTGATCACAGTGTATGGACTAAAATTATAAGTTGATCTATATGAAAAATAAGTTATAGGGACCAAAATCATAATTTGACCTATAGGAAAAATATATCTAAAAAACGCTAGAAAAGGAATGTCAAAAGGACAAGGACTAAATTAAAATGTGAGCCAGGAATCAAAATCTGAATTTGTACAAAAAATATATCAAATAAATCGCTAGAAAGAGGGCTTGAGGTTAAAAGTCACACGCTCTAACCAACTAAGCTACTTTAGCTAATTGGTATTTGTATTTATATTATTTTTTTATTTAAAATCTTTAGCATTTTACTTTTTTATTTACCAGTGTCGATGACAATATTAAATAAATATCATGTAATAATTTTTAGGGTTAATTACTCAATTCATACATGAACTATACCCGATTCTCAGTTTTATACATTAAGTTTAAAAATTCTTGATTAACTATATAATTATTTCTGCCGTTAACGGGCATAATCATTTCTGTCACGGAAGATGATGTGGAACCCTCTGACCCATAAAAATCGGAATCGTGGTGAATAAAAAATATATTTTAAAAAAATTTCCGATTTTTTTACCTATTTGGCTCTTGTTTTCCACGTGGATTAAACGGTAAGAAGAAACCCCATTTGATTTTAAACAGCCTCATTCCCATGTGGATTAAATCGGTTTCGTTTTGCACCTCTGTTCATCAGAGAAGAAGGTTGTACATCGGAGAGAAGTGTGCGAACTGATGTTTCTACACGAATACTATAACACCCATATCTTGTATACCTTTTCGTACACGAAATACAGATGTCACATCACTTTATTTTAATAAACCCGTAAATTTTGTTTAGATTTTCTTAACATTTTAATATAAAGCAAACATTAATTGAAATATGATAAGAGGTTCTACTTAAATACAATTCAGAGCATTTTTTTCATACTTTAATTACATGCCAACTAAATTTTTCTAAAACAAACCAGATTGTCCTATAGTTACTGACGAGTCAACCTTAACTGATGATATCTGTTGCTACTACTGCACTCCTTATTTGATTTGCCTCTTCTTTTACCTACGCGTGAAAGCAACACACGTTAAGTATTTACTTAGTGAGACATAATATTGTAAAGTAATCTTTATGTATCATAAGTATGTCATATTAGTTCGTAAATATCTTCTTTAAGGATTCTATAACTCCTCAGTTAAACCGTATTCCATTCACAATTATCTTAATTATTTTTAGTATGCCTAGCAAACCTATCTTTCTTAATATTTTTCTTTTTCCATTTATCTCTTCAGTCATTATTCTTTATTTTCATTGAGATCATCCATTCATACTTATAATGCACAATTATGCATTTTCATTTATGGCATTCTTTCATGCCAATAATGCACCCATACACATTTCAATTATGTCATCATTTCATGCCGATAATGCACCCACATGCATTTCAATCATGACATCCTTTCGTGTCGATAATGCACCCATATGCATTTCATTTATAGCATCCTTTCATGCCTTTTATATGCTATTATACATTTCATTTATGACATCTTTTCACGCCTTTTATACACTATTATACATTTCATTTATGGCATCCTTTCATGCTTTTTATACAATATTATACATTTCATTTATGACATCCTTTCATGCCTTTTATACCCTATTATACATTTCATTTATGGCATAATTTCATGTCTTTTATACAACGTTATGCATTGTTAAGCATCTAGTCTTTTACTCAAAGGCATTTAACCTTTCATCTAACTGGTATAATTGACACCTTTCTGTCAAATGCACAGCTAGACTATTAATCTTTTATTCAAAGGTATTTAACCTTTTATCTAACTATCATAATTGACACCTTTCTGTCAAATGCACAACTAGGCCTCAAAGGCACTTAGCCTTTCATCTAACTAGCATAATTGCCACCTTTCTATCAAATGCACAGCTAGGCCTTAAAGGCACTTAGCATTTCATCTAGTTGGCATAATTAACATCTTTCTGTCAAATGCACAGTTATGCTATTAATCATTTATTCAAAGGTATTTAACCTTTCATCTAACTAGCATAATTGACACCTTTCTGTCAAATGCACAGGTAGGCCTCAAACGCAATTAGCCTTTCATCTAACTGGCATAATTGCCACCTTTCTATCAAATGAACAGCTAGGCCTCAAAGGCACTTAGCCTTTCATCTAACTGGCACAATTGACACCTTTCTGTCAAATGCACAACTAGGCCTCAAAGACACTTAACCTTTCATCTAACTGGCATAATTGACACCTTTCTGTCAAATGCACAGTTAGGCCTCAAAGGCAATTAGCCTTTCATCTAACTGGCATAATTTCCACCTTTCTATCAAATGCACAGCTAGGCCTCAAAGGCACTTAGCCTTTCATCTAACTGGCACAATTGACACCTTTCTGTCAAATCCACAGCTAGGCCTCAAAGGCACTTAACCTTTCATCTAACTGGTATAATTGACACCTTTATGTCAAATGCACAGCTAGGCCTTAAAGGCACTTAGCCTTTCATCTAACTGGCATAATTGACACCTTTCTGTCAAATGCATAGCTAGGCCTCAAAGGCACTTAGCCTTTCATGTAACTGGCATAATTGACACCTTTCTAACAAATGCATAGCTAGGCCTCAAAGGCACTTAGCCTTTCATCTAAATGGCATAATTGACACCTTTCTGTCAAAGGCACAACTATGCTTCAAAGGCACTTAGCCTTTCATCTAACTGGCATAATTGACACATTTCCGTCAAATGCACATCTAGGCCATTAATCTTTTTATTTTAGAACAACTATATAATATTATAATATCAATTAACTCTTTCGAATTATACACCTATGTTATAATTAGTGCCAATGCAATAATCCACAATCTTACTTAATTTTGTGTTGCCATAATAAAAATAAAAAACATAAATTTCAACTTTTTATTTCCTTAAATTATTTCCGAAAAATCAAATTATGAATTTCTTAACTTTTTTCACACTCAGTGCCATTATGTAATCACCATACATATATCAATCAATCATACATCTATGACTACCGTAACATATACGCACATACTAAGTGTACTCACGTGGATTGCATCGCTATTGTATCCAAAACGCAAAATTGATTACTCAGGTACTTTGCCTTTGCCTTTTGTTTTCCTTGACTCGGGAGCTTGATTTCGATCTACTCAAGCATCCATTAAGTACACATAACATACAAAAGTTAGTATACTCCTTAAAATTATACTTTAAGAATATTCAAAATATCATTATTTCAATTTCTATAACAATTTCAACCTATTTTGCAGTTCCAAGCTCAATAGGATCGGTAATACTACCCTGGTACCGATACTTCTATACTATGGTACCAATACCCCTTTCAGTATCGATACCCTTTCTATATTCTGTGTTGCCTAGTATCGATACCCTTCTCTTAGTATCGATACCACTATAATATGGTATCGATACTCCTTTTCAATATCGAAACCATTTTGACATTATGGATCCATGATATTGATACTTCCCTTTGATAGTATCGATACCTTATCAGTATCGATACCCCTTGCATCAGTACCGATATTGTTATTCCCATTTCTACTTATTTACACCTATAGTATCGATATTGTTCTATCAGTACCGATACCATTGCACATAATTATCATTTTTCAGCTCGAATTTCACTTAATTTTCCCCTCTTACCTCCAACATATTTTAGCATTTTCTAAACATATTTTTAATCATATCTCATGCTTCTAATCTCTTGTTCAATCCTTTGACAAGTAAATTTTACTAATAAACCTCAATAAAAACACATAGATCAACATGTCATTTAAAAACACATTTCTTTAAATCTCATATAAAACATCCACCACTTAGTTTTAATCCTCTTTAATCCTTCCTTAAGCTCACATATCACATAATGTTACTAAAGCAACCCATAATTTAAAGAAAGAACTAGATAATGGAAGTTTACCTTATACCATGGAGGAGAGCACTACTCACATGAAGGATAAGAAGAAGAATAGAAATGTTTTACTTTCCTCTTTTCCCTATTTAAAATCCCTAATAAGGATATATTTTTAAATTCAATTTCCTTCTTAAAAGACCAAAGTGCCCTCTTTATTCATCTT